CACATGTTAAAACAGGGATGCTAGCTTACTGTCAGAGCTAGGAAAGCGTACATTCCTATTTACATTTACTATGCTACTTTTCCCTTAACGTCATCTTAAAAATATCTTAGCATTAGTTAGCATGCTGGGAATACACATTAAGATGGAAAATCGGTAAGATAACTGCATTCTGGCAGTGACCATGCTTATTGTAAGTACTTTAAAATGATGTCTCAAAAATATACTGTTTAGCTATAGCGCTCCTTAGCATTAATTTAACTTACGGCTAACCGTGTGTGTGTTGTGTTATGCTAGCTGCTCTCACTTCTCCCCATAGAACTACAATAAAATCTGGACGGTGAACCCAAGAAGGCGTCGTATTGTCTTACAAAGCTAACTTTTAGACGCTTTGAAGATTAAAAAAAAAAAAAAAAAAAAAAGAAAGTATGCTGCGAAAATAGAAAAGAATCCCTACAAAATCCGACCTTTGAGACAATTGTGGATGCCCCGTCTGCCGAACACGGGCAGTTTGAATTATCTCCATAAAGTTGGCCCTCCATCAAACGCACACCTACCCAAAAACTATGTCTATGTCGTATGAAGATAAACGGTCTGAGGCTGTGGAAAAGTATATATCATAGGGATGTAACAATAACCGAAATATCGTGATATCGTATCGTCAAAAGTCTCACAATAATATTGTGGGCTCTTGCAATATATTGAATGACAAGTTTCTTTGCTTAAACACATGGTTTTATAGTAGCAACGGCTTATAAACATTGGAAACTACATATCCCATGATTCATTTCAGCGCAGATAACGAAATATGTTTTTTACTTGAATTCTTGGGATTATGATGTAAATAATTCACACCAAAATCTTATCAAGGTATTTTAAAAGCAGAAACATGTCCTATCTACAAATATATTAACCTCTTCAAAATATCGCAATAAATATCGTACTGTGAGAAGCATATCGTGATAATATTGTACCGAGAGATTTGGATATTGCTACATCGCTAATGTATTAGTCTTTAGTGACTTGCTTTTGATTCATATTTTATATAATAATACATACTTTTGCACAGCCTCGTTTATCATTTATCTTCCTTTGTTCCTTTGAGTTTTGCTAAAGCTGCTACCGTCAGCTGAGCAGAAATGTCACCATATTGTTTCCGCAAAAATAATTATGAATAATTTTAGAAATATACTCGCACAAATGAAAATTGTCGAAGCACGAACGAAATTCAAATGTTTTGTATAATTTTCTGCCTGTTTTGAGGCTATTTAAAATGTTGACGCCATCGGCTGAAAATAAAACTGCTAATATCTTAAGAACCATCAACAGCACCAAATGAAACTTTGCAGCACAAACGAAACACAAAAGATTGACACAATTTTGGGCCGTTTTAGAGCATTTTGAAGCTTCCTGGGGCTGGCTGGCCCCAATTTGACCTATAAAAGAATCTTTTATACCTCCAAAACTGGAGCAGCACAAACTAAACTTTTTGTAGCACAAAACAGCACAAACAATTGATATAGTTTTTGTGTGGGTTTGCGTTTGATGGGGACCAACTTCATGCAGGTGTTTGAATTCCCTAAAAAAGCATTTTGCTCTATGGGAGAATTCCTTATGGGCCCAAGCTCCCGAGAGCTGCAGTACCTGGAGCGGCCACTAGTCGGTCTCGAGCTGGGGCAGAGGGAGGGTGCCTTATCCAGTTTTTATTATAGATCCATGCTTCTCCCACACAGGTTAGCTTCGGTGACTGTATTTATCTGCATAATGCTTTTTACACACACTGCTCTTTTCAATAGGGAATTTCACATGAGGAGGCAGAAATAGCAATGAAGCCAGGGTCAAAAGTACATCTGTGCTCTTGGCTTCTTTTAGCATATCGATGCGTTAACTGGCACCTGACGTATTGCAAGAGAGATGGATCTGAATTCATTCTCAGCCTCCTTTCCTTTCCTTGCGTCTATGAAAACTAGTCTTCTTTACCTACCCATGCTACATTTAGTTAGAAAACACACAAATGCAAGGCAAGCGTTCATAAATCTAAAATGAGTGATGGAAATTCCACTAATAATCTTCTATTCTAAGATCATGACGTTTTTACCTACAGTCTATTCTATTGATACTTTGCAGCTGATGTCATCAACATTCCCTGGAGGTGTGACGCTAACTGTAAGCACTGCTCTTTCTGAGGCTTCTTAGACTTTAATCTGAGGTTTATTTTAACACAATTTGACCAGAAAGATTTGGTTTAGTTGGAGCTACGACATGTTACTCTCTTACATTTAAAATTACACCATAAAATCACCTTTTTGTTGAAAATCAAACTCCTAAATAGGTCCATGAATGCTCGTAATGATCACAAGCTACTGAAAATGAGTTGTTTAAATCCATTTTGTATTATTTCTAGAGTCTTAAACCTTTTTGACAGTGTTTAATAATGTCTGCATTGTGTCACTATGGTAACTGCTGAACATTTCATCATAGAGATACAAGTAGAACACCCCCAGTGTGACGTCACTGCGAAGTATTAATAGGTTGTGTTCATGTTTTACTTTACAACATTCTATAATCCCTTTATTTTTATTTTAAAAGTGAGCTGGAGGGCAGATTAAAATTTAATGGTAGAATTTTCTGAAGATTAGCTTTTTACTGGTTGTAAATACTCGGCCTATTCACATGAAACATAAATTGGCACAAAATTCAACATCTTCTCTGTCAGCACAAATAAAAAGTTAAATAAATTCAGCGTAAAAACTTCAGAAAGTGGTGCCTTTATCCACCTGTTAAAACGTGGATGTTGTCATTTGGTGATGTGACAAGTTTGGAACCAGTCCCAATGAAAATTCCAGTGAGGTTCATTTGGTCTTCCGATAATTTATGTTATTAGGTTCTTTTTTCAGGGTTTGTTTTCCTACCTGACAGGTTGGACTGCTCACTAGCGGTCTTCCCCAGAGTGGTCACGTGATGTTGCGTGATGTTTGATCATCTGATTTATACAGATTTTAGCGCTGTCTTCCTACCGGTGGAGGCAGAATAACAACGCCATCTGCAGTCCGACTTCCTCAGGACAGTATCCCAGGTGTGTGAGAGTAAAAAAGCCCCCTCGTCCCGGTTCATGGTCCCGTGGGCACGTTTCCGTATTTCAAAACATGAAAACAAACTCTTGGTCTGAAAAAAGAACCTAATCCCAAACCCAATGAAATCACTATAATGTTCAAAATATGTGGATAATAAATGTAAATATTTCTTTCAAAAACATATTTCTTGATTTTCTCATAGAGTTATATAAGCCTCTGCCCTCCATCGGATATTATTATTATTATTATTATTACATGAGCACAACCTGAACTTATTCCCACTGAACAGCACGGCATAGATCGAAACAGTATGGCTTAGTTAGAACAGTTAAGTAGCCCTAATTTCCACTGCCAGTAAAGCTTCTTTTAAAATACTGTACATGTTTTTGCTTTAGTATGGATTTGTAATCATACATTGGAGACTTAAGTACTTACGCATTAGTATAATCACATTTTATAAGTCAAAATAATGTAGCCTCTAAACAAAAATGTGTTAAGAATTGAAAGAAGGAGCACAAAGTAAAGACAGAAACTATTCATCATATAATTTGACTTATTTATGGAGTAAGATTTTGGCATGTAAAGGTGCACTACGTAACTTTTCGGTTGAGAGTCGTCAACTTCTTGTTTCTATGGATATGTCATTGCTCTGCTTCAAATTTTCCACAATATGACATTAAACAAATCTACGTTACAGTTATTCAGTTTGGTGGTTTAATTGCTCAAAAATACCTAAAAAAACAAAAAACAAAACATGCCTCTTTACAGATCTGACCAGTAACTTGGCCTGGTTTGGTTTCCATCATGATAGAGAATTTTAATGCCATACTGTGAAACATTTCAGACAAAGCAATAACATGTCCATGGAGAAAAGCAGGTGGCTGACTTTCCACCAGAAAAGTTACTCAATGTACCTATGTGTACAGTAAGTCTAAGTATAATGATCATAATCAAGCATATATGAAAAAACTAGGTGGCGTTCTTACTGCTTTTCACTGTCGCCGTGGTTACCGTATAACAGATTTTCTGGCTTGCGGTCTGTCTGTTTTATGGCCCCTGGCAGCAGAGACTGTGGCAGATGTGCTGATGATTAAATTACAGTAAAAAAGTGTCACTTTCACTGCCGTTTTTATAACTCTAATGTGTCATAGTTCATTTGAGAATACTTTTATCTTGCTGTCATCCTCCCATCCAAAAACTTCGTCATAAACTCATCATAAACTTATCTTTCTGTTTGACTTTTATTTGCAAGTCATCAAAATAATAATAAAACGGATAATACAAGTTTGATTTCCCAAGGTATTTACAACTTTTTTTATGGCAGTTTAATTTGGAAATCAACTGTGGAAATATTGTGGTTTTGCCTTCACTGTCGTCAAAATATAATAATGTTTCAGAAAGTACCAGAAAGCGAGAATTAGTGCTCACTTTGTTACTACTTAACCAATTCTAATCATACTGGATCGACCTATACCGTGCACTGAAATCACTTTAAAACCCACATTTAACTGTGCAATGTGTAACTTTTTGGTTGGGGGTCCATCATTTGCTTGTTTCTATGGATATGCCATCGATCTGCCTGGAATGTTCCACAGTATGACAGCTCTACTTTACTTTTATTCAATTACAAGTGGTTTTACAGCTCAAAAATACCTAAAAATCTGACCTGTAACTTTGTTTGGTTTGGTCTCCTTGAAAATAGAAAGACTTAATATCATACTGTGAAACATTCCAGACAAAGCAATAACATTTCCACGGAGAAAAGCATTTGACAGACCTTCCATCAGAAAAGTTACACATTACACTTTTAAGTATCGTTCTGATATAAACTGCAAAGATGAGTCAGTTCTGTATTCCCTATGAGGCAGGATTCAATACGTGTCCTTTACCGTCCTTCTCGGAGTAAGTAGTCCAGAGATACTTTTGACCTTAGATAAGTTTCATAGTGAACCTTCCCCCATCGCCTCCATCTCCTCCTCCACCCATAGACGACCGCGGTACAAAGTCAATGGTAGCGGTGTGCTTGATTTGTCCTTTACTTTGACTCCAGAAAAACATGAAGACAAAACATATAGCTACCGAGCTGAGGAAGGAGAGGAAGCCCATGGTTGTAGCTATTATAAGCGTCTTTGCGTCGAAAGGGTAGGGCTTGGCCATTTGAGAGGACGAGTTTGCAGTTTGCGTCATGTGCGTTGGCTCTATCCAGGTTTCGTCGATGAAAATGGGGATGCTTCTGTTACGAGGGACCCCTTTCACGAAGAGTCCAACTGTGAGACTGTCGTTACCGGCGGCATTACCAGCTAGACACTGGTATGCGCCGCCATCGTGAACTTGAGCATACCGGACTTCCAAGGTACCGTTAGGCAAGACTCGGATTCTTCCCGTAGGTGAGATGATGTTCCTGTGCGGCGAAATCCACCTAATGGCAGGAGCTGGATCCCCGTCAGCTTTGCACGAAAACGCAACTGTAGTCCCTTCCTCTACTCTTACTTCTTGAGGTCGACGATCGTGGATTCTGGCTGGACGGCAGGTGAACAGCCTCGGAAGCTCTTTTTCGGAGAAGTCACGGAATTGCCGTAGCTTCACTGCATCCGGAGACGCACAAGTAGGTTGGAATCCGTCAAAGTTTAATCGTAACCTCCTACGCACCACCCAAAGCAATCGGCAATCGCACGCCAAAGGGTTCCCATCTAACCTCAGCACCTGGAGGTTCCCAACTGAATGGAAAGCAGTCTCTTCCAAAGTGCTGAGCTGATTGGATGACACGTTGAGCATACGGAAGTTGGTCAGTCCTCTAAAGGCGCCTGGTTCTATCTGTACCAAACTTCCACCTGCTAAGTGTAACTCTTGAAGTCTCAAAAGATCTCCAAGTAGATTTCCTTGGATGACCGTGATGGGGTTGTATGACAAGTCTAAAAAGCGCAAATAAGCCAGATGACGGAGCGCTGGATAAGGTATCTCACTAAGGTTGCAGTTGGTGATAACGAGAGAGGTCAAATTGAGTCCGATGAGGCTATTGCTTGCCAAGCTTTCCAAAAAAGGCCAACTGGATATGACGAGGGTACGTAGTCGATGTAATCTTCGGAAAGCGTTATTGGGGATGGTGGAGATGGTGAGGCGGAGCATGCGTAGGCGGGTCAGGTTCGGTAGCTGGGTTAGGGCCTCAGTGGGAATGGCAGTCAGGTTACTCCGATCTATATTCAACTCTACCACATTTGTAAGTCCGAAGAACGCACGCTGTGAGATGAAAACCAAGTCATTTTCTGTGGCTTCGAGTATTTGCAGATTTGACATGTCTTTGAAAGTGTAATCAAGAAATACCAGTATCTCATTTTGACTCAGGTCCAGGAAGCGAAGATTGGAGAGGCCTGAGAACACCCCAACCGGAATGATCTTAAGGCGGTTATTTTTAATCCGAAGAGTCCTGAGATTAGGAAGGCCGTGAAAAGCCTCCACTTCCATCATGGAGATCAGATTATCGCTCAGGTCCAGCTCTTGAAGGACCTGTAAACCGGAGAACTGGCGTCGTGCCACGGTCTTGATCTTATTGTAGGACAGATCTAGTTTTTTGGCATCGCCGGAGAAGCCCTCAGGGATAGAGTTCAGATGTTTTCCGGAGCAGATGACTTCTTTAGCTTCAGGGCGACACGTGCAGCGAGATGGACAGCCCCCAGCGGAGACTCCCAGGCCAGCGAGAAGAACGCTCCAAGCTCCCCACCGGACCACCGCCTCCACAAACATCTTTCCTCCACACTGCAACAACAGAAACAATATTTAGGAAGAGAGTGTACAGTATATTTTCTTCTATTTATTGCCGTACATGCACTTCCAAGGTGCCATATTATAATTATAAGACAGAAATAAGCACTTAATTGTTATGGATCACCTGAAATACAAGGGACACATGATGCCATTGACGTCAGGGCACGCTCAACCATTTTAGAAATTTGTGATTTTTCTGGTCACATTTTAAACATGTCTAGGAGAATTTGAGTCAAGGCTGAAATGTGAACTGACTAAAACAAGAACCAATGCATTTCTCAACTTGTTTGTAGAGGTCTAAACTATAGCTTTTGGATTGCCCAGTGCTCTCTTTGTATAGTTTTGTGTTTGTTTTAAATGTGGAGAGAGGGAAGTGGGAGTATTTTTTGTCTATTTTTATTTATGTTTCATAAAATTTCAAAATGGGAAGAAATAAAATATTAAGAAATAAACTATAGCTTTTAGATTAAACATGATTTTTTCGCTTCAAGGGGTGATTTCTAACTTGTCTGTCTTTGCGATTTCCTAATTTCAGCTACAGTAGTCCCTCACTATAACGAGATTCACCTAGTGCAATTTACCATGCTTTTTGTTTGTTTACAGCATATGAACGTGCATTGTGTTCCTCCCCCTGCGTCCTGATTGGGCTAAGGGACTGTAGACCACTGTCAATCAGTCTCCTCTGTGCCGTGTCTCCTGTACAGTACAGAATGCCTTCAGCTTGCCAAATTTACATACATGTTCGATCTCTAGCAGTGTGATTCTGAAGTTTGTTTGCAAGTTTTCTCCCCGACAAAACCCACAATGTTGACGAAACTTTCTGCACCGACAAAGGCTCCTGCGGTCGCACCCAAAAGGCAGAGGAAAGTGCTAACCATCGCAAAAAAAGTTGGACTTCTGGACATGCTGAAGGAAAGTAGAAGTTACATGGCTGTAGGGCATTATGGAATAAATTAATCTTAGGTTGATTACATAAAGGAGGAGGAAAATGACATAAGGACGACAGCAGCAATAAGTTTTAAGAAGGATGCAAAAAGGGTTGTAACTGTCCTGTCTGAGAAAAGTGTATGAAGTGTGTGGTGAGGGATTTTACAGCCTTAAAACAGATATAGTAATTGTAAAATATAAAGTTGCCTATTGCGGGTTATTTTTAGAATGTAACCCCCGCAATAAACGAGGGACCACTGTACTCAAATTGTAATTCGATTGTGTCCTAGGGCACACTGTAATATAAGTAACCGCAAAACCCCCTGAGCCTTAACCTGCATGCACGTTACCTATGATTATCTCCTGATTAAAACCTTATTTCAAATCAGCTTCTTGAGCAAAAAATAAAATGTCTCTTTACTAATAACATGATAATTACAAGATAACTCAAAATATAGGTTGGCTTTTGTTATCGCACAAAGCTACACAAAAATCCTTACCGTTTATATCTTAAAGTGCAGATTTTCATAACCAGCAGCAGTGCAGTTGTTGTCAGACCCGCCTGCACTGTCCAACTGTGGATTTATCAGCAATAGAGCATCTTGGAAAGCCTGTAAAATATGAAACAGACACATATTCATAAGAGATTAGTCTCAGAAAGTCAGAAAGTAAAAGGTTGAATAAAGAATGTTGGAAAATCCCATGAAATGAAAGTGCCTATGACAGGTTAGATTATTTAAATGTAACTTTTTTGTGAAACTTTTCTGGTGGAGGGTCCGTCAAATGCTTGTCTTCATAGAGATTAGGACAGGATATCATTAAGAAGTTGCCGATACGATACGTAAGGCCATGATACATACAATACATCGACACAGTGGCCTTTCAGTTCGATACGATATATTTCAAATCAATTTGATTTGGTTCAATAAAAATAATGGTTAAATCGCGGCTATGATACTAAAAGTCTTCGTTAAACCATTTCTTGCGCAAAGTTAATATAAAACACGCCCATTTTACTCATCAAAACAGTGAAAAAGTCAGATTTGTCGCATAAACCAGTTTCCCTCCTCTAAACAAGCAACAAAACTTTAACGCTGTAACAAAATAATTGAATAAAATATACCAAAAAATACTCTTGGCGATATATCGATACAGCAGCCCACAATATTGATACTGTATCATCACATTAAACGATACGATATATAGATATTTTTGCACACCCCTAATAGTTAGTAATGCTAGTGCTTTGTCTGGAATGTTTCACAGTATGGCATTAAACCTTTCTATTTTCATGGAAACCAAACTAGACCAAGTTACAGGTCAGATCTGTGGAGAGACAAGGAGACACTCACAGTCAGAATGTTTGTTTTTCTAGGTGTTTTAGAGCTTTAAAACCACCTGTGATTGAAAAAAATGTAAGGTAGAGCTGTTTAATGTCATACTGTGGAACATTCCAGGCAGAGCAATGACATATCCATAGAAACAAACAGGCGACAGACCCTCAACCAAAAAGTTTCACAGTGCATTTTTAACATTGAAACCTACTGCTCGTTGGTCTCAGATTTCCAAGCTACTTTTTTAGATTTTGTATCACCCCCATAAAGTGAAACCTTGTAAAAAGCACTAAGCCAGAGTCTACATATGATCTGCCTGTAAAAGTGAGTGAGTTCAGTGTGGATACATGTTATAGCCCGAGGACCAGACATCTGCCTTGAGACTGTCAACATCCTTCAAAACAGAGCTAAGTCTTTATTTATTTACTGTAGTAAAAAATAGAATAAGAATCATTTTCACGTATGTTTACCAAGGTTACTTAAAAGTGCATTGTGGAGCTTTTGTAGTGGAGGGTCCGCCACATGCTTGTCTAAATGGATGATGACATTGCTTTGCCTGGAATGTTCCACAGAATGACTTTGAACGTTTCCATCTAGCATTTGTTCATTACAAGCGTTTGTGTTGCTAAAAAATACAATATTTTTTCTGTGAATAGGGGCAACTCTCCACAGATCTGAACGTTAATGTAGCGTAGTGCTGTAACCTGTCTCTCTTTAGGTTTAATCAACAGAATCATTTCACGTATGATTACCGAGGTTACTTAGGTTATGTTTACTCTGAAATGAATCACCGTATCGGAATCGATCTGCGTCCAGACATGTCGTTTCTGTGTCCGCAAGCCTTCCCTATCCACACAGCTTTGCGTATATTTGTTTACACAAATGAAACTTAAAACCACATGGCTAATTTTCATACACTCAGCTCTCAAAAAACAGCTCGCTCCTTGTGCGTGTTCAGCTTCCGTCAGACTTGAAAATGACACGGCTCAGTAGAATATATGTGTTCTTTCTGTGACAGAAGGATGTTCTGCTAATGGTGAGTCTGTTCTGTGCAAGTAGTTCTAGCTACACTGTTTCCCGTTTGTCTATGTCCCATTTATTTAAACTGTTTTCTGCAATTAGCGTCACATGATTGATGTCACAAACCCAGCAAATCAAAAAGGCGCAAGTCACAGTGATGTGGTCCAGTAACAACGCAACTAGAGCTCCTACGTCAGCTCCGTCTCTGGAGCCGTTTTCCATCGGATTAGTGTGGACGAACACTGTGTCCACAATGAAAACGAATCGAATACGTACTAATGTGGATGAGGCCTTAAAAGTGCATTGTGGAACTTTTCTTCTGGGGGGTCTGCCACCTGCTTGTCTAAATGCAGGTGTCAGTGCTTTGCCTGGAATGTTCCATGGTATGATTTTCATATAGCATTTATTAATTATAGGTGTTTTTATTGCTCAAAAATACAATCATTTCTTTCTGTGAATAGGGGCGACTCTCCACAGATCTGAACTATAATGGAACATAGTTGCTGTAACCTGCTTGTCTCCCTTCTGATAGAGAAGTTTAATCTACACCATGGAACATTCTAGACCAGGGGTGTCAAATTCACAGAGGGCCAAAATTTTAAACTGGGATTAAGTCGTGGGCCAAACGGAATATTTATTGAATATTTTCAACAACATCTGCATGTTTTCTCTTCTTTAAATATGTAATGTTAAACATTTTCTTATTAAAATAAATGTAATGATAGTTTTGCTTAAACATTGAATCCAGAACAAGCAGCAACAAGAATTTATAGATTTTTTTTTAGAACCCTTTATAATAAGGGTCTCTCTGGTGAGCTACCTTTACAAAACAAAAATGTCAGAGAGCTACAAAAATATATTATATAAAAGAGCTACAGCAAGCTTTAGATGAAGTACAGTTAGATGAGGTACATTTATAAAACATTTATTAGTACACAAAGTTAGGCATCAAAATGATACATGTGGTAAATATACAATGTGGTAAAACACATTTAATCAGTAAAATTTTATGTATTCAGCACAACACGTGTAATTAAATAAATCCATTGGCGAGCTACTGGTACATCCTGAACTACAGATTGGAAACTCCTGCTTTATAAACTCGCCAAATTACCTCATTTCGTTTGCTCTGTTAATTAAAGTTAAGTTTTTGGTTGGGGGTCCGTCACGTGTTTGTTTCTCTGGATATGTCGTTGCTGTGCTTAGAATGTTTCACAGTATGAAGTTAACTTGGTATGACTTGGTCTCCATGATTATAGGCTGTGAAACATTCCACACAAAGCAATAACATCTCCATGGAGAAAAGCATTTGACGTATCCTGCATCCTCCGCTAGAAAAGTTACACAATACCCCTTTAACGTGTATATTTCATCTTCAACATTATGTAACAAACGCTCTTTATGTAATGCTGAAAGTCAAGCCACTACAACCGTGCACTGTTACTTATTTATTTACACAGTATTAATTGTCTGTGATCATTTGAAATAGAATATCACTGTATATAAAATAAAATAACAATATTAGTAGTTAGTATAGATTACAAAAGTAGGACATAAACGATAAAGACTAAACTTGAACTCACAAAAAGAAACTTGGAAAAGGCTTCTACACGTCAAGCTTTTCTTAGACCGTTCTGACTAAAAGTTAAACACAAAGTAGTCAAAGTATAATTAAAAGTACTGTATCTACATCAACTA